ACCAAAAACAGTCTAGCGAAGATAGATTCTCTGTAGCTAATGACCCTCTGATAATGCCGTCCACATACAGATTCACCTCAAAAAAAAACAACAGATCTCAGCTCTTCACATACCGTTATTATTGCTCATCACTGACAAGCGACGCGCTTCAAAGTTAAATATCAGTCCCTCCCTTTTTCGCCGACAAAACATTTCTCTTCATGAAAAATTCCCGAATAATAATGCTGCTATAAGTAAGGCGTTTGTCGTCCCGCCTTTCATAGCGTTTATGCAATGGCATGTAGGCGCTTAGCGTGGAGCGTGCGTGAACAATCACGTCTGTCTAGTTTGTGAACTCGGGTTTATTTTGGATGCAAATAAAGCGAATTCCCGCTTTCCTCAAGAGCTGTACCAGTCTGCGTCCAAACGCCAATGGCTCGTAGCTCGTATGGTCTGCGAGCCTTGATATTATTTGTGCTTATCACAATGGTTTCCATAGCTCTACTTGGTACTGCTGAAACATTCATAGTGCTCAAATCGGACGTCGCTGACATGACCTCGAGTCCCGTACACTGATCAGAACTTTCTTTTCGATATACGCTGGAAGACGGCAGACATTTACGACTAGATGGCTTGGCACAGAGGTAGAAAAGCGGCGTACGCATAGTTCATCATAGTAGTTAAGTACTGGTAAATGCCAACGAAACGCGATTCGATTTCAAAGTCTTACTTCTCAATGTCTATAGATGCGGTTATTGAACGAGTCATTGGAGTCTAATCCTTTCTTCGAGTAACTTCTTGTCATGTTGCTCTATGCCTGTTTTAATCTAAGTAGGACACTTTAATATTGCGAAAATGTTAGATGAAGTGAGGTTATTTTACAGGTTATCCGCTAAACATGAATGCTTCACACAATGAACCTAACAGACAATACGTAACGCCATGTTTTAGCACGCACGGAGCGAGCATCTGTGAAGCATTGAAATTTCCTAAAAAACAAATTCTCAAATGAAGCTACTCTAACAATTAGATCATTTCCTTATTTATTTCTATTTGTTTTCTAGTCTATATATACCATCCGCCGGGGCCTGAACCAATGGCTCTGACCACTTTTCTGGCTAGCGGGTCTGGATTGCCGTCCAGTGGCAATGCGGCGACAGCTATCTGGAGCTGTTTGAGTAAGATAAGAACAGATGTAGACGGGTTCGAACATCTTCGGTTCATGCGTACAAAGCTTAATAAAAACTTTGGAAAAATAAATTGCCATTATGTAACACTGTCGTGTTCTCTCCCCTTCAGAGAATCAGCCGAACGTGAAATAGGAAACAGCAGTAACTCTCAGAAAGTTCAAATAAGATTATTCCTACGGTAAAGAGGTTACGATCACCAGTCGTTGTTTCTTTCCAAACCAGAACGCATACGAACGGTCGAAGTTCATTACGCGATAGTTGAACTCTTTTAAGCAGGTACTTTTAGCTGCCGTGGCAGCCGCACTAACCATCGCGTGACAAATCCAAACGGAAATAATCGGCAAGCACGCTTCCGTTGGCGGCAACGTGTGCTGGACCGATAGGCCGGCTTTTCGAACCTGACTAGGTCAAACTGTCGCAGCGATACGAGCAGTATTACGCATCGCGACTGAATTAAATACTGTAGTATACTGCAGTATTTGAGCAAGCCAAAAGGTCAACGCGGTCGCGGCGCCTTACGGTACTGAAGTGCTTGCTGTTGTTTCCGCGGTCGCTCGCGGCGGCAGCAGACTAGGCGCAATAGCCCGAATAAATGCCATTCATATTGAGGTTTATATTGAAGGATAGGTGCTAACTTCACAAAAGTACGTCATGGAGCTGTCGCTGTATCTGTCTCGAGAGCATGCTAGAGTATCCATTCGGAACGTATAACCACCCATGGCTACTTTCATTAACGGCTAGATAGGATGCTCAAGTGAGATATCTATGCTCTCATACGCTCGCGGCTAGTTACCTGATTATTATTTTTTATAGAACCATGTTAATTTTTCGTTGCATATGATTAGGTTAATTGTTACGGTGTCGAGAGCTACATGAGTTTCTTATATAAGCAATATCAGATGCTTGGTGATGTGGTCCCCTTAAATATGCATCGAGACGCTAACCGATAAGACAACCGTGAAGATACGTAGCGGTAAGTTAAGTTTTTTAATGCTCCAGTTGAAAAATTCTTTAAATGATACTTATTAATAATCTATTCACCTTTAGGACATGGCCTCACCTTTCTGTAATAGTTGCGTAGCATCCGGAGGTATGTAACCGGACGTCTTTCATTCAGGGTGAAATGGCATAAGCCGTGTACGACACTACCAGGTCAATCCTGAGAGATCAAAAAGAGCATACGCTCAATTCTATCCTTCAGCGCTGAACGTCAAAATGAATTTGTTTCCTTAAAACAAAACGCGCGTAGCAAATAACAGCCCATACAGCGGGTTTCTTCCCGCCGGTGAGCGCATCGAGAGATCGATAATCGTGCGCAATTTCAAGTGAATACGCTGCCGTGTCCACAGCACACGCATGCATCCATGGACGACAGTCCGCTAGCGATCGCCCGGCGAGGGTCGGTCGCGAAACTGACCACAAGCAACGCAGCGACAGAATCTTAGGACCCAGAAGGCATCCATCGCCGGACTAGGCAAGAGCGCCTGCTCGAAGCGACGGCTGTCTTTTCTATGCGGATCCCTCATAGGGCCAGTGACTACTTTAACTAGCGCTTAGTGTTATTTCGGATCCTAGGCCCCTTTTTCGTTCGTATATCGTATACTGTGTACGAAAATTGCGGAATACACGCCATATCGGTTGACTAGACACAAACCGTAAGGAAATTGAACGCTATAGCATACAGCATACACGTACAAGTTTTGTACAAGGTGAAAAGTCCGAAAAAATGTGCAGAGTCCAATGAGCTCCAAGAGGGGTTGGCGTATCTATCTTCTCGTCGTGAAAAGTTCGCCCTATACGAAGGTTTGAGTCACCACTACTAAACAACTAAAGCTCTCTAATGTCTACACTGGTTGAGGTTGTATGTGAATCGGTAAGACATAAATTACATTTTAAATAATTAAATCCTGAATTGTCCTCCTCCGTCGATACTGATTAACTATCGAATATAAATAATTGTTCTGGAAACACATTGTTCGTCAATGACATCGGCTTGATTTCTGTTTCTTCATTCATTATTTCCGAATATTATTATTATTATGATGATAAGTCGCATAGAGAAATGCATGGCACTAAATAAAGAACGGCCGCCGGCTATCGGTCCTGCTGTTTTGCTATTTGTAATCACTTCTTTTTATTTCAGCGGCTTATCCTCAAGCCGATTATCCCGACGATACTGTTTCAGAACGATTCGCCGCTTTGTCTACCGCTCCGAATTATACAAATTGCAAATATACAGCTAAACTCTCAATTGATTACGCAAAACGAAGGTTTGTCAAAATCAATTCAGCTTTGTCTGAAAAATAGGTGAAAAAAATAGAACAAAATTATCGAGCCTCTAAGCTTGTATCGGTTAGCGACAAAGCGCCGATCGTACGACATAGTCTTAACCACAGGCCAAAAAAAAAACATGAAAATTCTAATTAACCTAGTAAAATATCGTCATCTCTACCTCGGAGTGTCATAGTCCATGGCAGCTTAGAGACGTATTCGACGTTACGAATCTGTCAGGAACACTGCCCTTAAAAACGGCCGAATGAGATAATTACTATCTCATTCGGCGGTTTTTTGATGGCAAAGTTTTGCTGGGTTTGTTATTCGAAACAGAAAAATGTTCAAGCTGATCGTTTATTCACTGATAATTAATTATTTTTGTTTAAAAAAAATACTATATCGGTTTGCTATGAACATAATGCACTAGCCTCCTGTAAACTGAACTGCTAAATCGCTGATGTGCCTTATTGATTCAAACAAGATCACACACTCACGGAACGAGTGCATTAGAAACAAACGTTTGTTGATAGTTCCCTAAGAAGTTCAGCGTTGTAGAATTATCATGCGCATCTGCACTGTTTTGCTATCTGTGAGTACCTCCAATACCTGTGTTTATAGAATAGGCCTTTTCCATGAAAGCACCTGAAAACACGTTTGCTCCGTCGGACGTCTATTCGTACAAGCCGAACCAGTGCTGTGTTCCATGAGCTTAATCATAAGCCCAATGTAAATTAGCCGCAATTAGCTGGAACTTCGTTACTTCAGTGCAACCGTTGATCGCCCTCCCAGTATACCATTTCCCAATTCAATGTAAATAAACTATTGATGACAGCGCCAATCTTGGGTTGCTTCTCCGTCACGTTCAAATCCTCTGTGCCTACAACTAAAATGAATTAACTGCCTCCTGAAATTCCGCTGTCGCTCTTTGGTGAATATTTCCAATGTACTCCTAAATCATGGCATCAGATCTTATGTTTGCAGTTATTTTTTAGATATTCGAAGTGTTACTTCTAGTCTTCACAGCCATGAGCCAGTGACAAAACTGCTAGTCGCATTTCATCCTAAATTAAAGCAAGCAGGAATACCCTGACTACCATAAAAATCCGAGAAAACTCTGATTCCGTAATCATTATTCGTGCGGTCCACGGAAAAATTCTTACTGGGACCATCCCGCAATAGCCACCAGACTAACCGATGCAAATGGAAGTCACCTGCTTTATTTACGTAAGAAACAGAAGTATTGATTAGTCAATGGTGTCCTGATTTCTATTCGACTCCCAACCTTGTTGAATATTCTTCGCCCTCGGCGTTGAACGAAGCGCTATGCCGGAGAACGTAAATAAATACGATATAGTCAGCGCTTCATATCTGTTTGGATTGTCAATAAAGACGTTCTAGCGAATGGTCAGGTCGCGAATGTATCTTGTGGTGAATTATTTAGCTCTACCTACGTACAAACTATGGTTTATAATGAAACAACAAAGTGAATCCTAACTTCTGCGTATGTTAGAAGCTTTGTATGAATGTCAGTGAAACAATCGGATAAATTTTCGATCTTAGAATAGAGTGCACTGCTTAATACTATAATATCATTTATGTCATCATAACAGGACTGGCATATTAAACAAAGGGCTACGCAAGATCAATGTAACTTGGTAAGGTAATGCTGAGTTCAGGTAAACATGGGTGCTTTCTACCTACTGGAAAGTACCGTTCTTAAGTGGCATTAAAAATTAAAAAGGGCCTGTTTGAACTTTCTGAAGTCTACTGTGCTTTGGTCACTGCGCTTTTTCTAAATGCAGTCATTACGCTGCGTTTTCCCTGAGAGTTCAACGTTTCGGCTTTTAATGTTGTGGTTCAGTTATACTGTATCAGATTCGTGTATCTCGGAGGAATGGCCTCGAAGGGTTCCTCTCTTCATTAAGCACACACATTCTAAAACAAATTCATTAAGTTTTCATGAGAAAAAGCCAGCCTTATATCACTAGCGCGCTGCAGCCCACTCTTTACAGCCATTGCAGGTCAATGTCTGTAGACAACAAATATATAAAATTATATATAAAAATTCATAATGTCACACTATTTCTGTGAACAAAGTGAGTTATTTATACACACGGATTAAGGTACTGGAGGTAAGTGATCACAGCAAAATCCGTTTTATTATACTGCTGTAGATTGTAACTACATCTAGTCACGTCTGCTTGAACGTATAACATGAGCTATATTTTTCAATATATCACTAAATTGGACACAAATTTCGTATGGTCAGAGCCGTAGCAGTTTACGACGTCATAAAAATCTATAATTCATAACATACAACACCTCATGGTAGAGCTGACGAACTGTCGATTATGTAATCAGGCGTTACTCTCTGAAATGCCACTAAATAAATGTTTTGAACCTTACGTCCAGTACTTCCGTTAGGCACAGCTTGAAATGTTTGCTTCTGAATGCGAAGTCAAAGGTGTCCGTCTATGCGTGCTTGCGCGCCTAGAGTACCACACGTACTCGTAAGTTGAGTGTGTAAACGCGTTACCAGTGAAATAGTCAGATGAGGACTTTAAGATGCCATCAGACAGTACAGAGAGTACTGATTTACCCGGCTTTTTCTTTAAGTAAAAGAGGGATCAAAATACAAATAAAAAAGAACACCATCAATGCAAAGCTTATTCCGTGCGAAGCTCAACCCCGGTGGCTGAAGCCAACTTTTACACTATGCCCACCATCGACCATTAACCTTCAATTCCGCTCTTTTATAGGACGCTCGAAACCAACTCGGATCCTGGCTGAATAGTATTACAAAATGGCACTCCATGAAGCGTTTTAAACTGGGTCTCTGCTGTTCCGATAACCCGAATAATTGAGCTTGTCAAGTTCGTTCCCAGATAACGCATTATTTTCCATACGAATCATACATTCAGAAGCAGGACTAGCTGCAGCGATAGTAAGGAGCCCGCGAACGTCTGATCAAGTTTCTCGTTGTATTACGAGAAAGGAATTTTCTGTTACCGACGATTGTATCAACAAGGAAACGTAATGGTTACCAACGATCCCATATTAGACCCGTAAGACAGTAAGGAAAACGGAGTCGTCTGTTTATTTTAACTAGAACTGAAGTGCTTTAGACTTCTTTGTATGGAGGATCCATCTATTGCGTTATGACGGTGACTGCAGCCGGTCGCCGTTTGGCACAGGTTATTGAAAAAGTTGAGAGGCAGCGACAATAGGATCAAGAAAAAAAAAAAAAACCAAAATCGAACCTGAGTCGACCAATCAAACTGATTTGGAATTACAGAAGAAGCAAGTCTCACTCGTTGCTGAGAAAACAATTTGTGCTGCTTGTCATAGACAGTCGTTTACATTTACGATGACGCTGAGCCTTCATCGGCTTCGTTATGCCTTCTTACGATTTTTGCACGAAATACAAAACGGCGCCGATATACGTGTGAAGCAACGGCTTATACTATCGATAAGTTAGTTAAATTCTTATTTTGTAATCAAGATATTAACACTAATCTGTATGGAATCATGCAATAGTAAAAAAATGATGGCAAAACTTCTTCAGTATTCAATTGTTTCGGACGGAAACGGATACAATTGTTTCTATTATATGTAACGTTTGGCAACTCGGCTATCAGGTAATCATAGGCCTTGCAGAACCTCATCATCAGGTGTTTGTTTACAGTGCGTTGTTACTGCGATAAGTCTTTGATGAATGAACAACCCATTTCGAGGATCATATATACGTTTCGCGCAGAAAGCGACTACCGAATCCATCGCTGAATCGCAACATGGTCGCAAAAGGGTTAAGTGGTTTCCTTGAAAGAACAACGACACACCTAAGTTTCACAATAGTCAAACCCAAATGGCCTTCAGGCCTAAATAGAACGACCTAAAAGCTGTGCTATCCGTTCAATCAACTGGTGTCCCAGTTGATTGCTTTTACTGCTTCTCTAGTCTCATACCAATAGGTACAGTACATAGATGCATTATTTTGAAAAACAGGAATATCCCGAAGTGTTTTTTGCAAAAAAAGAAATCGCTGAAATTAGATAAACTCAGCTTGTAAACCTCAATCAGAAGCGGAATCTGCAGCTGTTCTAGCACTTGTTCGATGAATCTATTGGATGCATTCATGTTTCCCTTATTTTGCTTATTTCTGTCGGAATATTGTTTACACCGTTTTGCTGATAACCTTTTTCAGAAATTGTCGTAGTTGCGAAGTGCAATGCCAAGCAGAACTGACTACAGTCCGTATAGAAAGGGTTGACTGAATCAATCGAATGGCTTGCTGTAGGGTGCGCGCGAATTTTCGAATCGATTATGAGAGAAAAAATGACAGACGGACAGTTCACAGCGACATCTTCTGACGAGAATGATATTCATGAGGCAGATTGACCGAACAGAAATTGTTAACGCTCATGAGACAACGAAAAGGCGACACTCGTATACAGCCAAAAATTGGACAGAAAATAAGTGTTTGATGAAGCTATTATTCCGACAATGATGTCGACTCGAAAGACAACATGGCCGGGTTACTGTATTTCGACACAGAAGATATAGAAACAATACATATATTTGCATTTGATTTGATGAAGATCATTTTTGATGTGCCTATTTGAATAATAGCCCACGAACTCAAAGGCATTTACGTATTAGTATTGTTTATAAAACTTAAATTGTTTAACGCTCATGATCAACATTACGTTTTTTATGTGATGACCTTACGTAGTTTGTTCGAAATACGACGTTTCGCATAAAAGATATGCTTGCTATATATACCACAAAGCAACACAAGATGGTGGTTGTGTTCAGGGTGTTTAAGGTAAAACTACCATTTCAGGTGTGAGCTTCGATTACTGGAATCGCCTTTCCACTGCTTTTGAAAACTATATTTGTATCCATTATCACTTAGACATATTTGAAAATAATTAAGATCTGAATTTATTAATTCGTGTTTTTCCGCGCTTCCTGTACTTTTGGCGCCCTCTTTCTTCACTTCTATTTCCCTGAAAAGATGCTTCATGGTAAAATATAAGAATTATACATGATATACACTATCCTATTTTCCGAAAATCTGCATAACCTTTTGTACTGAAAAGGTTCTTTATTGTTAAATTCAATTCGTGTTCATTAAGGGAAGTTTTTCTCTAGTCCCTTAAAATCCTTCTGTGCGTCAAGTCGGCTACAATTAAGGCAGATTTCGGCATTTTTGATATTTGTCATTAGGCGGTCGGCCGTTGCGCGAGCTTTTGCTTCGATCTCTGCCAGATGGCACAGGTAAATTTTTGTCGTATGGACCCACGATTAAACTGCACATCAGCTTAAATCAAACAGATGTTTGATGATGAACATGTTAATGATGCCCAATGGTCGGCTATTCTACCTATAGAAGACTAGCTGTGTTCGCAAAGTACCTATGTTAGGAAACGTGGAATTTATGGAATGGTTGGAGCTTATCGAGTGGTTGACACAGTTTGACAAAAAGGAATTTCTATCTGCTATTCGCACATGCACACGTCTACTAGAGTATGATGTTCAAAGCATGATACTATAAGAGTTGAATACATAATTATTGCTCCTTTTGATTCGATCTCGATTAGCTCACATAGGCAAAATGATCTCCCTCTTCTTACAGTAAACGGTGGGCTTTGACTGTCCTGTCGATGATTGATGCGCGCGGTTTTCAAATCGCCTACGTTCGATAAGTCGCCATACTTTGACTTAAGCGCCATCGGGTGGCCACTTGCCGAATTGCATCCCGAAGGTCCAGTTGAATGTGGCAAGAGGGCGCAGCGATCATCGTCTCCACCTCCGCCCGCCGTTAGTTGACCTGTAAACATAAATGTAAGGTTTATAAATGTAAGGTAAATAACGACTATAAGAAATACATATTTTTTTAATATACCAATAACAGCTACTTTATGTTACAGTGTCACCGTCAGGATAGAGCAGATATATTACGTTGGTATTCCCAAAAAAATGATGTTCCGCTTCCACTGTTTATTTAATTCTATGCGCATTTCAAAAACGTTTTCTTTGGAAAGCCTGTCGTATGATTATATTTCGAGTCTAGGCTCCGAAGATGGATGTTCCTTGTGCGTTTTCGACACCTACTTTAAGTTACTTTTAAGGAGTTTATTAAGTTTATAAGCAGGCCGGGATAATTGTACTGTGTAGGACCGGGCCTCTTTAACTGAAATAATTGCTCGAATATGATTTGTTAAGTTCAAGGATTGTGTCTTAGACTGGAGAAGCGCATCTCTGGTGAAGTCGCCTATTAGAGGTCGATGAGGATAACTCGAAGCCGCATTTGAGGGAAGCTGGCGGATAAGTAATTCGTATATTGGGTAAAAAGAAAAACTGCTATCAACAATTTCAACTCGATGAGATTAATTATAATTACGAACTTGTATGCCTCATAATCAGTAAGGCCAAGTCATACGCGGCAAGGGTCGTTTAGGAGGTTTTTTGCATCAACCATGTTCCGCGACTTCGCACTGACATATTACGAACATCTGATCACTAACGAACTAAATGAAATAACATGTTAGTGAATAAAGTTTCTGAACTGGCTAGATGCATTTTCTAATATTAAAAAATTCTCCGGGCGTGACAAATAGAGCGGTTCAGAGGTGGACACGGTCGTAAAGAAAGGCAGCAAATACACAATAATTCGTAATTAGAACCTGAGAGAAATCCTGCATTGTTTGTTCAATGACAAACCGCGAATTACTTCCCAGTCAAATATGATGATTTGTTCAATACATTGATTACAGAGATGGCAGCAAAATGCATTTTATGCTGCGTTAATTTTGTTTGAATTTCACAATATAGGGTAAGCCGGGCTCACTAAATCGAGATAAATCATTGTACACGTGATGATGATTCTGACAAACGCACGAATGTTTTAGGTAAAACTTAATATATTATCAAAAATTAGCAGAAACCTCTATGTTTCGAATTTTTCGTTTAGAATTGTCATTAGATCCCCCAGAACATGGATAGAGTCTGTCTATACGCGAGTTCGAAACTAGACCACAACGTGTCCCGAAAATTACCACACGAATACGTTACCCACTAAGCTATCACGGGTGACCTAGTATGTTTAAAGAAGCAATTTTCATATTGTACGGTCAACATCGGCACGAAAAACGTGTTGTGTTTTATAAAAAATAAATGTTCTTTTTTTTCAAAATTTGAATTTATTATCAAAAACGCTATTTTTTGCCCTGCCTAAAATATCATTTGGGCCACTTTGCTTTTTAAGATGTCTTAAGGCTTAAGTAAACAAAGTCATATAGAGCTATTCAAAAACAGCTCTTCGAAGCTCTTAGTATTGTGCATTTGAATCATGGCTAACAGTCATTGCCGGTTGTCCTGTTGGACATTCTAAAGTTCGATCGGTGGTTTCATATCACACCGATTGACCTTTACACAGGCGTATTATCCGCAATAAAGCTAACCACCAGTATGCACCTTCCTCAGCAACATCCCAAAATGCCTATTGTTAATAGGAACATATTATTCAAGTTTTAATACGTATTCAGCTTATCAATATAGCTGTTATTTTAACGGTTGACTGCTGACTTGTTTTTCAAAAGGGTTTCATCGGTCTTTGATATTAGCGTATATTCTAAAGGCAAGTTCATGGACGTGTGGAACATTATTTGCTATGCTTTGTTAGCGGGCTTAACATTTAATCCCTCGACTATATCTTTCATATAGCAGGTAACAATAATAATAATAGAAAGTCTTTAGCATAAAATGCCAACACATTTAACTTTTGCTTAGAGCATCCCATCTGGTCTCTAGCTTATGTTATAGAGAAACCTAACCTATACACAATGAAGTGCTAAAAAAAATCCAATAGTCGTTTGTTTGCTTTTGCTAGCTGATAAACAACCGCGAATGTCTGGCTTTCGACGGTAAGCTACACAGGCCCTTGTATCGTAGTAAATGTCGCAGCCTAGATTTTTTAAGGGTAGTGCTGAAACGAATACACCTTAATCTGCATTCAAAAAATCATTCCACATAAGTCAAGAAGTACGAAATTTTGACTTACCTCTGTTGCCTGTTGGTGCGGACCTATTTTCGGTACACCTTTCTAGGGAGCCGTAATAAGTGACTGGAGTTGCCGAGATACTGGGCCCATGGAGCTCGAGACGTTCCTCAGCCATTGGGGCTCTGAGGGGTCTCAATCAAGCTTACAGATAGTAAAGAAGCAGGCGTTTCTCTTTCATCGTCGATTTGTAATATCGGACGCTTTTTTGACGCAACGAGCAGTCTACTGGCTTTATATAATCGTCTTCCAGAAGCGTTCCATTCTAAAGAGAAATAAAACGGAAAAAAACAGTAATCGTCATAAGAAGCCAATTTGACTTAGATTGAATCGAAGAACAGCCAGATTGCGCTGTGTGCCTTTGCATCGATGGCATGTCCGGTTACTATTACGCTCGTTGCTGGTCTAAAATGACAAATAACTGTAGCTACAATGTATAGAAAACAATACTCTAAACACAAGCAGTACATTAACAGGTATATACTTAATAATGTTAATATAGCTGATACCTTCTGCACTGAAGTAAACCACATGAAATACGTGTTCTGATATAAAGCCTATTGTGTAAATTGGGTAGAAAATAAAGAGGCATATGTGTATGCAATATTATAATTTCGTTGAAAATTTTTTAGATGTATTGGAGATCATCGGTATGCACAGGTGTATTTTTAACCGTACATGGACAAATACAGACCATTTTAGATATAACGTACCAAGAAATGGCTGTTCCTTCATAATTGTATATTCTGTTTCTAACGTACAAGCACGTACTTTCGGCTATTAAAAACGAAGCTTCATTTTGGTATCTGTTACTATTGTCTGAGACAACTTAAGATTATGTGCCGAATAATAATTTTGTTTAGAATCATCATTAGCAAACGGAATTACCGAGGTTAGCGCCAAAAAAGAGATTATTTATCTCTACCTCTCGCTTAATGTACTTCAGCAATCATTAGTCCGCCTTTTTTTTTATCTGTCTCAACCAGCCAACTCTGCATTATCAAAGCAGAGTTTTCGAATCGAGTGATTTCCATTTAGGACGAATAAACCCCCATCATGCCAAATTTTGAGTACTGTCTTGTACAAAATACCTTGGACTAATTTTGAGCCTCGCTGCTTTACAACCCTTTGCTATGCATATTATCGACGATACGTCATAGAGCCCTCCCATTCAGACTTTTCTTCCCGTCTGCGCATCTGTATGGTGGCGGCGGCGGTGGTGACGACAACAACAGCAGCCACTTCAAATAAAATCGCTTGGATTTTAGGTTCAAAACAACACTAGCTTTGCAACAACAGCCGTTTAAAACCATTGGGGTTGTATGGTCGCTGCAGTTCGGGCAAAGTCACCGCATCATCGAATTGAATTTGCGCGCCATACACTTGCCCTCGCCCACCGCGTACCTACCGCCCTCCCGTTATACTTAAAGGCATACGTTGCGCCGCTATCTTAAAAATCATTGATCGCTTGAGGTGTTCTTTTCCGACGTCCGTTCTGGTTGTGCGTGCTGCGAGTGTCGAGAATTTTGGTGAAAATGTGAGTGTTCTAGTGAAGTTTCTTATTGATTTGTGCGGCGAGCGTGACCGATAGCATCGTCCGATTGTAATCTGCCTGTTTTAAGCTCAGATCTGTTTGATTGCAACGTCAGATATGTGCAATAGTGGTATTTGGCCAAGCTCCACGTGAGCGTTGCCGGCCGGGCCGCCGCAGGCCATATATCGAGTACGGCGAAGCTAGTGGCAAGGCATATATAGCTAAGTTCATATTTCACGAGCCGACCAGGACCGTGAATGTGCTCCCCTCCCAGCATTGTTTTGCCGGACCAGAAAGTCGTAGTGCGAGATTCGGGCCCCTCCCGGATCACTAATCTGCTCCCCTGATCCTCAGACCGTACAACTGACTACTAGTCCCTACGATTCGTTCGAGTCAGGCCAGCGATGGCGCCTTCCACGAGTGGAGCGGTACTGGAACAAGTAAATAGTGTGAAGAGTTTGGATTCGGGGGTAATGCTAACGATTGGGTGACCGTTGAAAACAGGATCTATGAGAATCGAGCGTAGGCCGTGAGTGATTCATTTAAACGGCTTCCATTTCTCATGTCCTGCCCCCGCTTTGGGTCCGGTGGACCGCCGCTACTGCTGCCGCCGGCGTCGCCACCGGCGAAGACAACGATATTCCTCCCTTGCCTAGGCCTACTGTTACCGCCCCGAACTAACGGAAGACAAGGCCGGCGCTAGGACTGGCCGTCTTCGTTTCGCCACAGCGTATAGGTAATATTTATGCTGCTGGGCGAGCCTATGTCGACGGATGGTTAACCTAATATTTTTTGCCCCAACAAGGCCTATTCAATGAGGCTATCGTTCGCTGTGTGCGCTCTGCTGTTTCTTTATTGTGCTGCAATCGGGACAGGATGCATTTGAGGAAAGAGAGAATGATCTATCAAAATCAGGCAGGACTGAGTGGTTGGCTAGCCGACAGTTTGCTGCCGTTTGAAGTGTGCTCCAACAGCAGCTGAATGTTTGATCCGTTCAACCCGAGAAAGCCGTTGTTGATTCAGCTCCGCTCGGTTAAATCTGGAGCGCGTCCGATAAAGAACGCGGCATCGCAGCAGCTGCTGTTAGTGTCTGTTAGTTTGTGCTGGTTGGTACCGAACACGGCGAGCGATCGCTGGTCAAGTGGCCGCTCGTTTGCGTTGCGCCATTCCTCAAGGCTCTTAGCAAAAAAAATCCGTTTTGTTCATGCTACTTGTTTTTTGTTTGACGAAGGAGACGATATCGGGCTTTGCGGCCGCTGTTGCAGCTAGTGAGGCCTCTGCCAGCGGCCGTCTGCAGTGATAGTGCTGTGGTGGTGGCTGGTCTGCCTTTTTCTGGGACTGATGGTGAGATATTTACCGAGAAATGGGCGAATAGAAGACGAAGTATGCGTCACAAACCGCGAGTGGCGGGAAATCGAGCAAGCTAGATGATGTGAGGGCGCGGAATAAGGGGGAATAAAAAATAGATAGCCTTTGATCGAAATATATCCTCAAGTTGCGACTTTTCGCATTTTGCGCCATTCGCCACCTTGTAACCGCAGATAGGGATGTAGAAGGCTTTGAACGGATCGTTCACTCACTTATTCGTAGCGAACGCTTTGAGTTCTATTGATATACATGTTTGAATGTCACTGCTACCGTTGTGGTCGTGCTTCTAATAATTTATTAAACGGCTAAAGTATGGGTTTGGTGCTGATCTGTAGCAGTTCAATCTGTGTGGCAAGTAGGGACGGCGGCAGCAGCAGCTGTGGCGTAGCACTAAAACGTCTCTGGCAGGATTATGGCTGAATTCTTGAAGTCAAATGTGTGCAGGTGCCGCCGTGGTCACTAGCGTGCCATCAGCAGAAGTAGCGGCAAACATGGAGTGACAACGGTGCAATCGCGCTCTAGTTGAAAAAACGTTGTCGGCCGGCACCTTCGTTGTTTGGGAGACTACGATCGGTGGAAACGCCTTAGAGCGGTGTGATACGCATTATCGAAAAAATTTAAGCTAACCCTGCGTAATCACCATTTGTCTAATAAAGCCGATGCTGTTAGTCTTGGCTCAGGTCGAAGTTATTGTTAGTGTATAGCTTTTCACGTCTAAGTGTATTATAGTTTTTCTAATATTTAATTAAGGCTATTTACTTGTTCTTTTTTTAAGCTTATAGCAACAGGTAAACAGTAGGTAAGCTCGATTTCGGCTAATTCACCTGGTTAGAATCTTAGTGGAATTGTCGTCTCCTAACAGCTCTTAAATTTAAAATCGAAAACGCCACCCATGATTATAGAATAAATCTTTGACCTGTCCAATCGGCATATTTTAAAAACTGAAACGCGTCTCGTGCGTGAGGCTAGACAAAAGAATTATGCTGAAAGACGTGTCCACCTTTTATTTGTACAATTATACATACAATTATTTGATTACCAGTAACATTCCGCGAAAGCTTTGCGTACTGGAGTGACTAGGCGGTTCCTGACGTCTGCCTGCCTGCCTGGCTGACTGTGTGTGTTTGTGTGTGTGTGTGTGTGTGTATCGCTGTGTGGGAGGTTTGACTGGGGTCGTAATATCCTTCACGACGATGTTCACTTAAGCGGTGCTGGTTTAGTTCGACTGTGCGTAATCGATGACGTAGAGGGTGGCAGGCATCTGTCCGACGACCGCCATGCCGACAGCTTTTTTCTAAACGGAGGAGCGCGTCACGATATGACGTCACCCGTGGCGGCCTCCGCCGCCGTCGCCGGTGGCTCGATGAACATGATATGTCAATGGTGCTCCGAATGGCTCCCACGACTAGTGGTGGAATTTTGAATGAATACTTTGGCACATGTGGGCGAACAAGGAGCGGAAACAAAAGAAACTGGGTTCGATTTTGACGGTAGAATCGTTGTATGCAGCAAGGGGCGGTTAGATAATATCCAGACTTTGAATTGAACTAAAGGCGTAGTACTTACAATTAATATGCGGTTTTAGTTGCTATATATATATATATGTATATATATACTGCAACGGCGTTTATCGCGAGCCAATGTAATCATGAAATTGATAATATCGATGTTGATGGATTTTTATTGGAAAGCAAACTTGGCTTGACAAAAGGTCTACAAAAAGACACATTTTCATATATAAAACTACAGCGAACTGTACTGAATTTACGAAATTTGTTGTGCTTGACATAGAACAGACCGAGAAAGTGTTGCATCGTGGCACAAATCTTTAACGTCGATTGTTCAATAACGAGTGGCGACAGCTGAGTGATGTTGGCACCAATAATATCAATACTGAACAGGTATTACATTTAATAATTTTGGAACTCTGATAAACTAATTGTATCCTAATAAAACCTACTTTAATTGCCTTTTACAGGGCAACCCAAGATTGGGAAGGTAGTTACGGAGGTGCTTCCGGTGGAGATGGGGGTGTTCCCGGCATGGAGCCCGATGGAATCATTGAAGTTTGTACCTCTTTCATATGACCGCTTCATCTATTCTGCTTCCTTAATTATCAATGTTCGTTAATTGTGCTAGTATACTGTACAACACTGTAGTGAATACGGTAAGATTTTTAGCACAAACAAGCTGTCTTGTGTATAGCAAAATAAACTAAAAGCACTTTATCGAAACCATGTGAGATGTTCAGTTGATGAAGTAATTTACCACTTCTTAATGGCTCCGTTATGCGTTTGTTTTCAGTCGAACTACGATAAGGTGGTCGACAGCTTCGATGATATGAAGCTGCGTGAGGAACTGCTTCGCGGCATCTATGCCTACGGCTTCGAGCGGCCCTCGGCTATTCAGCAACGCGCCATTCTTCCTTGCATTGAAGGAAATGATGTCATTGCACAGGCTCAATCAGGTACGTTATCAGGTCAGCTTTTTGTTAAATATGCTTGGAACATTAAACATTTGCTGAAGGAAATTGATCTAATTGTCAGTGAGGTTTGCCCTGCATACTGTAGTGATGATTGCAATGATTGTCGTTTGTGCACTTTGTTTAGGTACTGGGAAAACTGCCACATTCTCGATCTCGATCCTTCAACAGATCGAAATCGATAACCCACAGTGCCAGGCTCTGATCCTTGCGCCAACACGTGAGTTGGCTCAGCAGATTCAGAAGGTCGTAATCGCTCTTGGCGATTATATGAGCGCGAAGTGTCATGCTTGCATTGGTGGTACGAACGTTAAGGATGATATCAGAAACCTCGAGAAGGGTATGCATGTCGTCGTCGGCACCCCCGGCCGTGTCTACGATATGATCCAAAGAAGGGCTCTGCGTACGGATTCTATCCGTATGTTTGTCTTGGACGAGGCCGACGAAATGTTGTCGCGTGGTTTTAAGGAGCAAATCCATGACGTGTTCAAGACTCTTAGTGACACGACACAGGTAATGGTTCTCGATAATAGGTTCACGACAGTGAAAACATTTAGGTACCGTGTAGGGAAAGCAAGAATAACTAGTTCAATGTTCAACGGCCTGATATTATCCCTACTGGCCTTTGTTTTTTTAATAATCATTATTATGTATCTTAAATGAAATGTTTTTTTTGATGCACAGGTCATCCTACTTTCGGCTACAATGCCGTCTGACGTCTTGGACGTCACCAAGTGTTTCATGCGGGACCCTATTCGTATTTTAGTGAAGAAGGAGGAACTCACCCTTGAGGGTATTAAGCAGTTCTATGTCAATGTCAACAAAGAGGAGTGGAAGTTCGACACTCTGTGCGACCTCTACGAGACGCTGACGATCACGCAAGCTGTGATCTTCTGTAACACCCGCAGGAAGGTTGACTGGCTCACTGATCAAATGACCAAGAAAGATTTCACTGTTTCGGCTCTTCATGGCGACATGTCACAGCACGAACGAGAGGTAAACTTTATGTTAACGTTATTCGTTAATTGACCACAAGTGACTTAGGTAGTAATATGAAGTACCCTATTTCTAGTGTCTCATTTAGAGGGAATATTCACAGAATCCAGTTTATACAAATCCTCTGTTTCTTTATCATTTTGCCTCCTTCCAATTACTGTGCTTTATTCAATGCTAATAATCACCATTGACGTCCTTGATCGGGCTTATCCAGGTGATTATGCGAGCGTTCCGTTCCGGCTCTTCGCGTGTGCTTATCACCACTGACCTACTTGCTCGTGGTATCGACGTGCAACAAGTGTCACTGGTCATTAACTTTGACCTGCCCACCAATCGTGAAAATTATATTCACAGAATTGGTCGTGGTGGCCGTTTTGGCAGGAAAGGAGTTGCCATCAATTTCATGACGGACGAGGACAAACGAACGCTCAAGGACATCGAGTCATTCTACAACACCGAAATCGAGGAGATGCCGGTCAACGTCGCTGACCTTATTTAGGCTGTAGGAACAGAGAAGAGACCCCGCGGCGGAAGCGGCAGAGAGTGGGTTCGTTACGATTACACGAGAAGAGCAAGATCAACATCTGCTGCAAATATACTTGGAGCGTAGGCGGGGCTGCAGTCGGTCGGCTTGACGTGGTTAGCCAACGTGTTTTACTCGCCTACGCCTTCACTTTTCCAATCGAATTTGATGAGAACGGGCAATTAGATAAATGGTGGACCACATGATGGATATATACGGATAAGAACAAAAAATCATACAAGCGCTGCCGGTGCTGAAATATATAAATAAGAATAAATTAAAAAAGAAATCAATTTATTTTTGGTCATCTGTTTCAACACTTCAGTTTTATTTATATTATTTTTATTATTGCTATAATTATCCTTTTGTAAATTTGTCATCATATCTTCGTGATATCTCCTGTACGAAAACGTCCGGCCGTTGTTTCTTCTGCTGTCAGCTATCTTTCTCGTTTTTCCTCCTTTATTTAAGTTTTCCATTTTATCTTATCTTCGGTGGTGAAGTATGGTGCAACGTTACGGTCACTCAACATATACGACAAAATTCAAAACAAATCCTATCACCGTGACTATTTCGATCGCATGATTCTTGTAAACTTACGGTCCGAGTTGACTCTAAAAGTTCACAGGAAATATTTGATCGTACAACAATAAAAGCTGCACAGATGAAACAGAAAAGAAATACAACGTTTCTCGAAATCGACACGAAAAGTGTCGCTTACAAGAAAATTCTCATTTAACCGCTGTTCTCTGGTGTTTATCACGAATATAGTAATTTTCAAATTAAGAATGATTAGCCCAATGTCGCGCTATATTTCACCACCGAAACAGTAACGACAACAACAATGGCAACAACAAATCACAGAAGGAACACCGCGACAGCAACAAAACAACAACGACAACAATAACAGCACACAACAAGAGCAATAATGAAAGAAGTCAGAAAGTTGTTGCGTGAAGGCACCTAAAAGTCAGCTGATCAGCGCTACTTTCACGTTCATTTAAGCCTTACTTTTACTACATTGTGGTGTGTATATATATATGCATACATGAAATGTGTGTGTTTGGTTTCTTATCTATATAAAAAAAGTTAAAGGAGGACATATAAATATGAGAGAAACAGCAACCGGGCGGAAGGAAAACGACTAAGCGTTTTCATATAGGAGATTAGAAGACGGCATGATGGTAGATTTACGAAATAGGTAAAAAATAACGATCATAAAAATATAATTATCAAAATAAAACTGAAGTGTTCGAACAGACAAGCAAAAATAAGCTGATTTCTTTTTTAATTTACTCTTATATATTTCGTATATGTAGTAGCTTGTTTAAATTATGTTTGTATGTCTGCATCTGATTCTTGTTGTTTGCGCACGCGTTTAGCAGACGAAAGCTCTCGGTTCTTCTGAGACAGAAGCGGAGCAGGCGCGGTAAACGAACATAAGCAAAATGGAAAATGAACTAAATGTTGGTCGATCATCTATTTATTTTTCGTTAATTGTCACTAATTGAAAAAATATCGTGTCGAATGGAGACGCGGGCAAACACTTGAGAGGCTGGCCCAGCATTGTAGAGTTGTATGTACATGTCGCCGGTAACATTTAAGTGTGACACTAGCGAGAAACGGGAAGAGCCCAGATATTATGTAATAATAATACTAAGAAGACTGACAAACATTTAGATACACAATAAACACCGAAACACTTCGAGCGCAACAACACTTGAAAATTACACACAGACAATGAATGGAGGCGAATTAGACATTAGGAACTATTATGCACGTAATAATAATAATACAGTCGTATATTAATAATTACATTTAATACACCCACAAAAATCATACGACACAGATTCAAAACCTATGCGAAGGCATTGATGGATGGACAACTACTACATCAGCCTACAAATAACACGCGGTCGATTAAACGGTGGGACTACGGACCGCCCAAACCCGTTTGTCGTCCGGTTTGCTGCCGACGGATCAACAGGAATTGCGATCACATGTCTGACAACACCAAAAAATGCAGAAAATATATTTAACTAAATAAAGGGACAAAAATTAATAATTTTAGAAAGTAAGGAGAAATCAAAGAGATCATAGGGCGCTATTGTAGAAATAAGGAATAATGTAGAACTAGTAAAGAGAAAGAGAGAACAGCTGTAAAGCTAAATACATATATAGTAACAATGATGATAATAATTATAATGAAAATATCTTCTAATTAAATGAATGATTATATTCTTACTAATTCCAATTATATAATAATCTGAAGAATTAAGAGAGCGAGGGAACCCGATACAGTAAGACCGAAGGCTAGGAAATGCGAAAAATGGAGTAAACACGTTTAACAACAAGAGAATTATGGAAAAGAGTAAGGAAAAATAAAATATAATCAATCGTTCTAATAATAAATAGGATAGTGTGTTTATTATTAAAGAGCGATTAGATGTGGGTGACTTAGCATAGTCGGGCCACAAATCTAAAACTTACTGGTAATCAAGTAGATACAGGGTATTAGTAATTTTTTAAAATAGGTTGTGCGAACTACTAGATATCCCACCAGGAAGTTTTTTCTGAGAATTTTTCAGTTTCCCGAGATTTTTATTCAGTGTAACTTAAACATAAATTAGAATTAGGATAGCGTTAGATACGACGGGCGTGATTTGACAGACCGTGTAATTTTTCAAGAGCATGTTCATTTCGCGTAGTCCTCATCAAATTACCTTAATTTTTTTCATTAAACTGTGGGTATCGATTTCAGATAAGGAAAGAGACTTATTAATGAAGTAGACTAATAATACTTTCAAAGCTTTATGATCCTAGTTTTAGTTACTGTGTTAAATATATATGTATGTAT